TAGCCATGCCAAAGAATCATGTATTCATCCCATGTTTTCAGATAAGTATAAAATCAAAGACAGAAAGAATCTATCAGCTGCCAAGTAACAAGGCAAATGTTGAGCTAGAGATTTATAGGCGGTAAGGCAGCACTTTCCTCTACGGGGCACAGACACACATCTCACTCACAGCATCTCACGGTGGGGTGGAGCGAGGAACGAGCTGGGCCGTGGAGACAGCCAGCCTGCGTGCGGGCGTGCATGCAAGTTCTGCCGTAGTTACAAACCTGGTGTCACAGATCACTGTCAAGCACCGGGCAAGCTGTCTATCTGACTGTGCTCACTGTAAGAGGTGGATGATAAAACACCCACCTTGGAAATATCAGAAAACACAGATTGGCAAACTCAGGCCTGTGTTTCAAAAAAGGCGGGGATGGAATGGGCACTGTGGAGCCACCACCCAAGCCCTGTGTGCCAAGCACTTGGGGGAAACTAGTCGTCCATAAGTCACGAATAAATGGCCAACAGCAATATGGCGGCCCCTGCTTGGGCACCTTGAGACCCAGGGCCCTCCTAGTTTAACAGGTCAGTGAACAGCCTTCTAAAGAAGTCTGGCAATAGTAATGCCCACAACAGCAGCCCTGAGAAACAGCGAGGACTCACGTCCTATTCAGACAGCATTACTCACAACGCCAAGGTGGAGGCAACCCAAATGTCATCAACAGCTGAATGGAGAAACAAACTGTCATGTGGCCACCACTCCGTGGAATACTATTCAGCCCCCCAAAGGCAGCAGCCTCTCATGCTATCATGCTGAGTGGAATTAGTGAGTCACAGAGGGCAAGAACTGTTATGATCCCACTCGGATGGAGCACTTGAGTCGAGTGTAGAAAGAAAGATGGTCGGTGCTAGGCTGGGAAGGAGCGGGGAAAGTGACCTACATTGGCAAGGTTTTCATTTTGCAAGATGCAAGTTCTAGAGACTCGTGACACTGTGTTCTGAGTTAACCCTGCTGTCCTAGCCACTCCAGAATGGCCAGGGAGGAAATGTGATGGCTGTGCCAATCTCAGTTTCCGTGACTAGAACTTTCTGAACATTTGAATAGGCCCCAGGCACTGTATTACATGTCTGCACCTCTAGTCCTGTTTGAACTTTTCAAAACCCACAAGGTGGGTGCTGTCCACCCCTACTTTACTCAGGAGCAAAGTGAGGCTCGGAAGGCCAGCAGCTCACCCCAGTACTCCCACTGTCAAGAAGCAGGGTGGTGATTTGGGGACCGGCCTCAGAACATGTATGTATGGCTGGACGTCAGCGTGTCCACAGAATCTTGGAAAGACAAAACCAGAGGGCACAGAGCTTAGATTTGTGAGCACCCTGGGCACACTGGAGGACCCAGCCCGAGCTGTCCCACAGCTCTTCGTCCTGGATGCTCCCTAAGGGGATTCTGTGCATCCACTTCCGGAGTGTGCTCCTGGTGTGCTTCTACACTGCATTTGGGGGGTCAACTTTTAGGGGATACACCCACACACAACAGGCACATTTTCCAAGGGTACATCCCACTGCATTTTTACAAACTGACTTTACCCATGGAACCAACACTGACATCAAGGAAAAAACGCGGCCAAACCCCGGAAGCTCTCCTGCACCCCCCTTCCTGGCTTCCACGTGCACACCCTCACCACCACAGACCAGCTCCATCCAAACAGCTCACTCTTAAAGGGGCTAAGAGCACTGCTGTATTTAGACAGATCTGAACGCAAATCCTGGCTCTGTCACTTCCAAGCTGAGTAACTGTGTAAATGTGGCCACCTCTTCAAGGCTGACCTTTATCAGAAACGGGGAAGAGAACGTGTCTTTCTGGAACGAATGCTGGCAGGAAGCCCGATGCAGGCTGGAGCTTAGTCACACGTGGCTCCCTGGAGCAGGGTCCGTTTGCTTCCGGCCGCCGCTCTGCGTTCAGGGCAGACTGACTTGCCGTGAAGGTTGCGCCTGCGAAGCAGGAGTCAGCATTTCCTACAGGCCCTGGCTGGGAGGTTTGCTGACGCTGACTCTAGAATGTGGGTCACATTCACCGCTGTGTCCACAAGGACCAGAACATTCTGGTGCCTCGGAAACACTCATGTGGTGGCTTTCATCGGGGCATGGTATAACAAACAAGCCCTGAACCCTTTAAGTTATCATGGGTGGATTTTACGTGCTTTGCCTTCGGACAGATTCCCAAACAACCTAAGTAAGTTGTAAAATCATGAAAGGTCAAGCCCTATAAAAGCTGAAAGAAGTCAGACCTTGAGTGACCAAGGCACACCAGTAGGTCCCTCATTCCAGGCAAAGAAGTGTCCATTGTCAATTCAAAGAGCTTGGGTCAAAAGAATCTGTTGAGGGGCCAGGGAGTGACCCCCAGGGTGCAGCAGACCTCTCCTGACCCGCCCGCTGCTCCCCTCAGCAGTGTGTTTCAGTCAGTCGGCCTGTTCTGCTCCCAACTGTTTCTGGTGAATCCTCCCACCACCCGCACACCCCTGGCCTGTACCCCAGTTCTTTTATGCAAAATAAACAAATCTTTAAAGAATCTGGTTGTGCTGTAGCAGCTGGTGCAGCTGGACAGGGAGCGATTCTCAAAGTCTCAGGGCTCTGGCTGCTGCTAGTTTATGCTTTAGGAAGCAAAACTCCAGCTCAGCTGGAAGAGGGAAAGAGAGGCCAGGAAAAGTCCCATAACCTCACAGTAATTCAGGCAGGACTGTTAGAAATGATGACAGGGCCTCTCTCCCGGTGTTGGAGAATCACTGTTTTAACATAAAACACAGAGGGAGACGGTCTCCCCGAAATGCTGGTCATGCCCTACCTGCTCGTGTCCGAGTCTGGCTAGGCTGCTCACGTCTAATGGGTGGCAGTCACCACCTGCTACTTTCTAGCAAGTCTCTTCTACAGTATGACAGGTCACCAGACCCAGTGCAGGCTCACAGTCACTGTGAGAGGAATCTGTGAGTGTGGCACTAGATTAGAAAGGTATGTGCTGGATTGCCACATCAACAAGATGACAGGGAGGCGGGCAACACAACTTAACATCAGCAACGACGTAGACAAGGTGTGTGGAGGCAAGAAGAAGTCAAGGACATCATCTGCACCGGAGGGGTTAAGTCGCAGCTGCTTTCGGTAGCCACTGCAGCACGAGTTCGATCCCCGGCCAGGGAGGTGACCCACAGGGCGCAGCAGACCTCTCCTGGCTCACCCACTGTTCTCTCAGCAATGGATCTGTCTGTTCTGCTCCCCACTCTGTCTCTGGGGAATCTTCTCACCCCCCGCACCTCTGGCCTGCATCCCAGATCTTGCGTGCATAAATAAATAAGGTAAATCTTTAAAAAAAAAAAATGCATCCATAGTTCCCAACAAGTGGCTACAGAACTGAACCGAGGGGCTGAGAATATCAAATGCACAACAGATTCTATGACCTCACGTGAGAAGAATGAAACATATCTTATTCATAGCTTTTTAGACTGGTTACATGTTCAAGTAATATTTTAGGGTATTTTTGATTAAATTTACTTCTAAAGGAATGTTACTTTTAGACCCTTTGTGCCATAATTTCCAGGAGCTTGAGCGTCACACGCAGCGCCTAGTGCACTTGCCCTGGTGCCAACAGTGTAGGGCGCCCTTCGAGGCCCAGCTGGCTGCTAACACAGCTTCTTGCCTCTCGCTTACGTCACCAGAGCCCTCCTCAACTCCAGCCTGATTTGCAGACCTAGGAACAGTCTACATTCTGGTCTTTGTGTATGGGGTGTCCTCTCACTCCAGAACATTCTCTCTATGCAGTCACCAACTCCTGGTATCATGAGAGACCAGGGGTCTCTTTGTGGAGGGTCATAAATGTGGCTTTTGTCCCCACTGCCCAGTGCATGTGGCCTCCACAGACTGTTACCTGCCTTTCCTGGCTGCTGGCTGGAGACCTGAGGTCTCCTTGGGTCACACATTCTCTGCACCTTACTATTTTTGGATTCTCAGCACAGGCGCTCAAAAAGCCAAAGTCCTGGGTGTATACTCCATGAAAGAGCAAACTGAGATGCAGTCAGTGTACCTATAGCCTGAAGCTAGATGCAGACCGGATACAACCTACAGATGCAGACCGGATACAACCTACAGAAGGTGCCATCAACCAAAAGACGACCAGTGACCGTTCATTGTACTTTAAATGTTGAGTTCACATGAGTGACGCCTTTAAAAAGCTGTCAACTTAAAAAGGCTGAGCCCTGGGCCCTCCCTGGTGGCGCAGCGGGTTAAAGCACAGCACTAAGAAGTCAAAGCCACTTCCGCATGCGTTCGATCCCCGCCTGCCCCGGAGGTGACCACATGGCGTGACAGACCTCTCCTGACCCGCCCGCTGCTCCCCTCAGCAGTGTACTTCATCGATCTGCCTGTTCTGCTCCCCACTCTGTCTCTGGTGAAGCCTCTCACCCTCCGCATCTCTGACCTGTACCCCAGTTCTGTATGAATAAATAAATAAATCTAAAAAAAAAAAAAAAAAAAAAAGGCTGAGCCCATTGACAAGGAATTCCATGCCTTTGGATCTGAAAACGGAAACACTTGGTCAGGAGTGCGAGCATGACCTAGAATGCACTAGAATGTTCACTGCAGCATGATTTGTGGTGGCAGAAGATCCAGGGCAGGGGCACGGGCCACGGATTCCTGTTTCCTTGCTTTCCTGTTCCAAGTACCTGTGTCTGCACATACATGTATGCAGCCTCTTAACACAGAACTGGTGATGGCGGCTCCTGGGAGCGTGGAAGGGGACGAGGCTCGAGAGGCTGCGTGCGTCTGCCTGAGCATGTACCGGACACGCACGGCACCTTCAAAGACAGGTGACGGCCAGCTGGTGCTTTTCTTCTACTTCTGTGTAGTTAAGGAAAGGCGCCCCTTTCTCGTTCCTCTTTCTCCCTTTCACGTCCTCCCCCCTTTCCTTGGGGAAAGGACCATCCCTTCTCCCAAGACCAACAGAGGACAAATGGCAACATTCAGTTGTGGTCACCTACCGTGATCTTTTTATGGTCGGGAAACTCGAGGCCAAAATAGTCGCCCTCCACGAGGTTGAGGTGGTTGCAAACAGCATCCAGCAACACTTTCCCGGGGGCTCTTTGCTGGGAACACAAAGAGCAGAAGTTAGACCCTGTGGGACAGGCAGCAAAGGCGACAGACACCACAGTGAGCCTCGTCACTCCCGTCCCTGAGACTTCCAGGCACTGCTGCTCCTGTCCCACATCCAAATACCCAGACTCACTTCCGATCCTTCATGCTGTTCTCACACTCAGCTGCTAAAATGTCACCTTCTCCCCACCGGGGGTCCTGTGGTACCCCCTCTGTTTTACAACAATAGACTTTAATTGCTACAATAATTTTTAAAGGGGCCACAGACAGTTGATTTCACCTTTGTACAGTGCAGGTGGGACTACAAATTTGTACAACCTAATTAGGGAGAGCAGGGTGGAGAGTTCCTGCAAGTAGAAATGAAAGACAGCCTATCTCACTTCTGGGTATTTATTAAAAAAACAAAGAAACGCTGATTTGAAGAGACAGATATAACACCAAATTTATTGTAGCCTTATTTATCTGATATATGTACACAGTGGAATATTATGCAGCAATAAAAAGATGAAACCCTGCTATTTGTAATAACATGAATGGCTCTTAAGGGCCATTATGCTCAGTTAAATTAGTCATACAGAGAAAGACTAACACAGTATAGTTTCACTGATGTGTTTTATACAGAAACCTACTGGATGATTAAATAAACTTTTAGAATATTGACAACTTAGAAGGAAGAAGAGTAGGTAAAGTGGATGAAAGAGGTCAATTGTATAGAGAAGGACAGAACTGGAATTTTAGTGAATTGAATATAGAATACGCAGACAATTTTTAATATTGCAGTTGACATTAAGTTATACCATATTCTATCGAAAACAGGTAATCCAGAGAGCGGCCACCTCTCTCTCCCACCACATACACAGTGTCTTTAGATTAATCTCTTGTGAAAGTGAGGGCCCCTTGTTGCAATTATTGAGCGAGTGCCAACAGACTATTCTCCCCCTAAATCCCTACTCTGTTAGCATTCACACTGTGTTGTGGAGTTCTGTGGGTTTTGACAAATACATAACATGCTGAATCTACCAAACAGGGCCACACAAGGTAGTTTCACCATCCTGAAAAGTCCAATGTTTTGCACCTGTTCAACCCTCACCACCTTCATGAACCCCCAGAAACTGCTGTTACTTTTTTTTTTCACTATTTCTATAGTTTTGCCTTTTCCAAAATGCCATATAACTGGAATCACATATATGCAGATTTTTCAGACTGCTTTCTTTCACTTGGCAGTGTATACTTAAGGTTCTTTACTGTCTTTTCACCACTTGACAGTCCATTTGTTTTTCGTTGCAGAATAACATTCCCTGACAAAGGTGGGCCACAGATTATCTGTCCACTGACTGAAAGACACGCTGGTTGCTCAGATTTGCAGCATTGAATCTGCTATCACCATCTGATGTGCAAGTTTTGAGAGGACATGACATTCTCTGCTGTAACCCCGTGGCCCTCATGTGGCAGTTGGAAACTGTCCCTGGCTTTTCTCCTCCTTTACAAATATGGCAGGATTTCCAACTCGTTTCTCAAAGTTCCTACCACACCTGTGTGGATTTGACTGCACACACTAGACATCAAGGCCCTATAACAATCCCCCACCCCAGTGCCTAAAACCCAGCGAACTATGTTAAAACGAATGCATGAATAATCAAGGAACTCTACTGTGCTATGTATTAAGCAACTATGATCCTGCGCTGCAGTTCAGTTTTGGTGCTCACTCACCTTCATATTTCAAACGCCTAGCAGAGCACCTGGAGATTGACCAAAGTCTGCTGAAAGCAATGCCACACATGTTGAATCTATAGGGGATGGGAATATGCTTAAAAGAACCCCATTCTGGGCCCTCCCTGGCGGTGCAGCGGGTTAAAGCACAGCACTAAGAAGCTGAAACCACTTCCGCATGAGTTTGATTCCCACCTGCCCCGGACGTGACCACATGGCATGGCAGACCTCTCCTAACCCACCCGCTGCTCCCCTCAGCAGTGTATTTCATTGATCTGCCTATTCTGCTCCCCACTCTGTCTCTGGTGAAGTCTTTCGCCACCCCTGAGTCTCTGGCCTGTACCCCAGTTCTGTATGCACAAATAAACAAATCTTTAAAAAACAACAACAACAACAACAACAACCCCCATTCCTACCCTCAAAGCTTAGAAACACATGCCTTGGTTTCTCTTCACTCACTGGTGGGTTCCTAGTAAATGGACCTGGGCTGCTGGACAAACCAAAGTCCTCTGAACACACTGCACCTGTAGTTAGTCCCTGATTCCTTGCTTCCTCCTTTTCGCTGATAAGAACAGAGCATTTAGGACCAATTAGGACTCCAGAGCCACAGCCAGAAGAGCTCTGTGATGGGCATGACCACCAGCCACCCCAGTCTGGCCCAAGGAGCCCCCAAATGCCACGGTCTCTGGAGGGAAAGCATGTCTATTTTTTCTTTAAAAAGATTCATTCATTCATTCATTCATTCATTCATTCATTCATTCATTCACACAGAACTGGGGTGCACGCCAGAGGTATAGGGGCAGTGAAAGGCTTCTCAAGAGACAGAGTGGGGAGCAGAACTGGCAGACTGATGAAGTCCACTGCTGAGGGGAGCAGCGGGCGGGTCAGGAGAGGTCTGCCTCACCCTATGGGTCACCTCTGTGGTGGGGATCGAACTCACATTGAAGTGGCTGGCTGTGGCCAGCTTGCTGTGCTGTGCCCTAACCCATGGTACCACCAGGGAGGGCCACATGTCTATTTTTAAGTGGAGGTCACCTAAGGCTCCCCTAGTCGTCCTCACTGACCTCCGAAAGGTGTTCACAGTTCTCTAAAAGACACTTGCTCATGAATGAGTCCAAGCTCACAGGCTCTAGGCTTTGCAGGCTTGGCCTCAGGGCCACTGGTAGTTAACGGTTTTGATGGTGTGTCATCCCCAAGTTATTAGGGAAGCCCATTTTCTGTAGCATAGACACACCCCCACATGCATTTGCATTTCAATAGTGGGCTTAAGAACCCGTAAAAATAAGCGTTGAAAACCTTATTTTTTCACAGTCACGTGCCCTACTCAATCCACATTGGAGAATTCATCCACCCGCTAGATCTCACTTCAGGGTGTTTATCCAACATGGCCCCTGGGTGCATGTTCTCACTCCTGGCTCCAAAGAGTTTTGGGAAGAAGTAGAGCCTTTGTCTCTGCCCAGGAAATCTGCAGACATTAATAAGAACATCATAAAAAATGGGTCGGGAATAAAGCGTGCAGAAGAATCCCTAAATCATCAGATTCTTTAAAGAGAAGATCACACTCCCACTGCACTCGTCCTTCTCACCATTCTGCACATTTCCTACTTGTTACAAGCGCACCGCCCATTACATGGCCAGCTGGCAGGCGCTCGCCATTCCCTGCATTTCCTGAACAAAGTGAATTCGATAACTTTAACTAGATTGACAGTCTGCGAAGTCAGACTTTACAAACCAAGGCTGGACGTCTAAACAAGTAAAAAAAAAAATCAATCTACAATGGCTGTCTCAATGGACACGCTGTGAACCCGGTTCGGCACCACGCCGAGCGTCCCGGGCAGTCAGCACGGGAATTACCGAGACATCTGCCAAGGTCCTGAACACATTTGGTAACACGAGATGTTGGACTAACAAATACATGCTCTAAAGCTGGTCTCAATTCTTAAATTCCACAAATTTTATTGCTTTGTACAAACGCTTTCTACAAAATGACCAGTCTAAGATGCCCAATTTTCACGTAGGAGAAGCCCATGGGGAGTGTGAAGGGTAGGACAGCCCCTGTAACCCACGCACGAAGCAGAGGCCCATGAAGCACTGCGTGGGTGCCCAGGGTGTGGGTGCCCGGGGTGTGGCTACAGCTGGGACATGGGGCGAGCCGGCGGCGGCATCACGCCGAGTATTTACGGCGACCCAAACGCCCCCACGCAGCCTCTCCACCGCCGTCTCACGGATGCATGGCACAGAAACAGGCTCCAGGCTCCAGGCCCCAGGCACCGAGCATTTTGTCCTCGTACTTTAAGGAAAACGAACCCTTTCTTCCTTAAGACAGATTGACGTGTTCTACCCACCTGCAACCGCAAGTTTGCACTGGTCTCCACAAATTTTTTCAGCTTCATGCTAAAAAGTACTTCGGGGTCCCTCCCTGGTGGCGCAGTGGGTTTAAATGCAGCACTGCGAAGCTGGCCAGCACCCCTGCACTTCTGGCCTGTACCCAGGTCTGTGTGCATCAATAAATAAATTCCTATTGCAGAGTAGTCACACACGACTCTGAACATACTTCAGGCCGCTAATCACGGCAAGTGCTAAGCTGTATCTACTTCCCCACACAGAAAACGCAAAACAGGAAGACAAAGTCACCAAGGATGGAGAGCACAGCTGTGGATGGCTGGCGAGGGTTACTCACAAGAGTCAGTTTGAACTATTTTTAAGAACAAGAAATGCAAGCAGCTTTTTTGTCTTTTACATTAGCTCCTAGAAAAAAATCTAAGGGTAGGACCCAGGTCAAGGGAAGCATCCCGGGAAGCCCCCATTGGGTATCAAATGCGAGCAATAAATGTTTGCTACTACTTCTCTGTACAAAGAGCTCTTTCCCTGTCTGGTGGGGGGAAAGGTTTAACGTGAAAGTCACAGAAATCACCAGAAGAAATCACCATTGTGTGCACTGAGGAAGGCTGTGCAATGGATACCACGCCGGAGGCCACAAAGTCCCTGGCCCCTGACCACTGAAAAATGGTCTGTAAGTCAGTCAATGGCACTCAACTGAAGGAAAAGGTGGCCACGGCACAGAGGCAGGCTGGGAGGCCACAAAGACCCTGAAGAGAGATTGGGGTAGAAGTATTTGCTCCAAAAGTAACTTGCTTTAAGATACATCCCCCAACACACACAAGTCCACACATTTCATATGCAAAACTGCACAAAACACATCCAGGGACAGAAAGCCAAGTTGCATGGTCATGACTGGAGAGCCCGGCTTTGTGAGAGGCAGCGTGTCACAAACGCTTTTCCT